TGTTAAGTGCTGTCAAGTCGTAGATGACTCCTAGCAACCCTTTGAATGAAAGACCTGAACACTTGTATAATTTTTGTTATTTTTCCACATTCATAGAGTTTCTGGAGGCAAGCCATTTTGGAAGTGGATGCCACTCCTGCTTCCAAGCTTGTTTTAATCGGGGAGCTTCACCAAAGGCTGTCCACCATGGGTAACCATTATCACATTTGACACGTCAGTGTCACAGTGTTTAGTTTCACAGCAACCAGGAGTTACTTCTGTTCAGCAAATGGGCTCTCTACTATATAGTTCTGCCAGATCAATTCCAACTGCCAACATTTACCTTTAAGTCAGCGGTTGACTGTAAACACTTTATGCCACATAGAGACTTTTAAACAAAAAATAAAAACAGCCTAAACCCACTGTCATCACGTCAATTCTTTCTCCTAGCTACTTTAAAGGGTAGAATAACTGACTCCATTGGGTTTCTGAAGATGTAAATCTTAACAAAACCAAATTGCTTCATCTTGCTTCTGTGCAGTCACTGATGGCTTTGACTTAACATTTTGTTAGCAACTGACTGTCTTAACAATTGTACCAGTGTATGACAAATTCTAATTGAACTAAATAAATAAATGAAATACAAGTTACTTAGATATGAGAGAAATTAAGAAATAAGCAGTTAAAAAATTACATTTGTATTTGACCACAGAATGTCTAAGAGGTAAATAGAACAGATAATGTGATTTGAGCTCTGATAGTAAACCTCTACCTGCTAGTAAATATTCCAGAAAGTACCTGTTATCTAGTGAAAATGTGATTAAAGCTTCTACTTTTGATACAAACAATACAGACTAATATTCTTTCTAAAACAAATTTAAGAGATTAGCTGTTGAAATTAGTTTTTTTCTAACTATATTTAAGAGACTGCATATTTGCTATGTTGTTATGTGCCGTCAAGTCGCTTCTGACTCATAGCGACCCTCTGTACAACAGCCCTGAATCCTGCTCCATCCTGGGTCAAGCTTATTGTCTCTGACACACTTACCCTTATTACCGCAGTCACAAAATCAATCCATCCTATCAAGGGTCTTATTCTCTTGTGCTGTCCCTCACTCTTCCAAGCATGATGACCCTCTCTAAAGATTGGTCACTATGTCACTATGTCAAATGAAGTTTCAGAATCCTTACCTACAAGGAGTAGCCTGGTTTCACCCTCTCTAGGTTGAACTTGTTTGTTCTCTTAGCAGTCCATGATATATTCAACACTCTTTTCCAGCACCACAGCTCAAAGGCATCAATTCTCCTTGACTTCTGCAGCAAGTGCTTCAGGTCCTCCTCAGTTTCAACAAGCAGGGCTGTATCATCTACATAATGCAGATTGTTGATGAGTCTACGTCCAATCCTGATGTCACACTTCTCCTCGTAGAGCCCAGCCTCCCAGAAAATCTGTTCTGCATATTGATTGAAAAGGTATGGAGACAGGACACATCCCTGGCATACACCCTTCCAATGCAATGTTTCTTTGTTCTGTTCTGACAACTGCCACCTGGTCCAAGTAGTAGGTTTCGCATAAGCACAATCAAGTGTTCCGGGATACCCATTCTTCTCAGAGTCAGTCACAGTTTGTTGTGATCCACACAGTCAAATAGCTTTGCATGCTCAATGAAACACAGATAAACATCTGGTACTCTCTGTTTTCATCCAATATCCATCTAACATTAGCTGTAATATCGCTAATACCATGGCCTCTTCTAAACCCAGTCTGCACATCTGGCAGTTCTCTGTTTATGTTCTGTTTCAGTTGTTTTTGTGTAATATTAATGATATTGTTCCATAATTTCTGCACTGTATTGGGTCACCATTATTTGGAATGGGAATAAATATGGATCTCTTCCAGTTAGTTGGCCTGGTGTCCTCAAGATTTCTTGGCACAACTTGGTGAGTGCCTCCAGGGCAGCATGTTTGTTGAAATACGTCATATATATATATATATATA